TATTTCTGAATCGTTGACAGACTTTCCGAATAAAAAAAAAGAAGAAAAAGTAAAAAGAAAGGAAGAAGATCATACGACGCAACAATAATAATGAGAAGAAAGAATAATGAAATAAATGAGCGCGTATTATTACTCGAAAAGAGTTGAAAGAAAAAAATAAGAAGGGATTATTAACCGAGAGATAAAGAATCACGAGAAAAAATTGTCCAGTACACGCAAATGCAATATCCACCACGTGTTCAATCGATTCTTTGTATGATGATGATGTATGTGTGTGTGCGTGCGTGCGTCCGTGTGTGCGTGTAAAAGTCTTTTATCGTGTATAATATGTGAGAGTGTGAGCAGCGCACGGCCGCTTTGCGTTTACGCGATGAAGGGGAATTGTGGAAAAGGGTAGGAGGGGGAGATAAGAAGAGGTCGAGGGTTGATAAGGGTGCGTGTGCGATGATTAAAAAAAAAAAAAAAATGAAAAGAGAGGACTCATAGGAAAAATTAAATAGGACCTATATAGGGAGGATTGTGAAGAAGAAAAAAAAAAAGGAAATGTTAAAAAGACAGAGAGTGAAGTAAAGTAAAAACTTTGATGCGTTTAAGAAGAAATATCTGGCTGTGCGTTGATCGTTAATAATTTGTAACAATTATCTAAAAGAAATTCCAAAGGTGGATTGATTATAGCGAAGAAATGTGAAATTACGAAAGGAAAGTTGAAAAAAAGAACAAAATTATTAAGCGCACATGTTATTTAAGAGTCGTAGGAAAAGTAACGCCTTTCGTGCTTACGATTTAAAGTAATCGATGATTATAGTGATAATTAAAAAACGTAAGCTGAGAAAGTGAGAGAGAGAGAGAGAGAGAGTAAGAATGCTGAACGAGATGCACAAACAACATTGTTTATTTTTTTATTTTTTTTATTTACGTCCTACTTGTCTCTCAACCGAATCCTTTTTTTTTCTTTTTTTGATAAAAAAAAATGCATCGAAGATCGGAGCAGTTTTACATTCTAAATCATTCAAGTCCCTAAAGCAGCGCGTAACAAATACTTTAAATACTGGCATGCAAATATTCGTTTTACGGTGTAAACCACAATTCTAATAAGTCAAATAAAATATAAAACAACAAAGTTACGTTGGTCACGAATGATCGACCTATCGCACTGCTTAAGGGTTCTTTTCTCAACAAAAATTTGTTCATTTTTAACGAGTCCTGTAACTCTGAAATGATTTTAAATGAAATTTTCTTCTCTTATCTTCGATATGTTTCACAAATCAGACGAATAAAGCGTAAATAGGTGCGACTAATGAAAGAATTTATCGACACCGTTGTTGTTTCTAGTCGCTTAGGTGTTTTTTCAAAATTTTGATATCCTTTATATGCATACACATGTACATGTATATATATATATATATATATATATATATATGATGTAAACGCGATGACATTTGTATACGTATTACAATTCAGCCTTTTGCAGTAAAAAATTTTCGAACGATATTTCATAATTTGCACGTCAATGTCTTTTTAATTTTGAACTAAATCTAGATTTTTCTCCCCCCAAAAAAAAATCAATTACTGTATTGTATTGTATCATAGAAAATAAGAATGATACAATCGAATACACGTGCTGGATGTTCTGTAATTGATGATACGAGCACGCAGAGAAGGGTGATTCTATGTGAAAAACTGCATTGGAAATGTAGGAATCAAATTTATTTATATCAAGCTTAGCTTTGGAATAAAACAAATAAGTATGACAATTTGTCGAGTACACGTATACTTGACCAAGCTTGTAAAAAATCTTAGAAAAAAATTGAAATTATTCTTGTTCGATAAATCCGAAATATCCAAAAGAGTAAAGTAATATAAAATCAGTCAAGCTGAAAACTGAATCGAGAAACGAGATCAAGCACACACACACACACAAGCGTTAAAACAAATATATTTTTCTCGAAAAAACAAAATTTGATTCTACGTTTTCGACATATGTTCATTTCAGGCCCCTTGACTGGCTTGTATCAACAATTACAGGATACCAGTATATATTTGATTATATATATATATATATATATATATATATATATATATATATACATAAACGTATTTATGTAATAGAAAAATAATGACAATTGTCATCGTTTATAGATTTGAAATTAATTGCGGACCAGAAAAGGATATCGGTGATCGAGCGCACAACTCGTCATTTTTGAAAAATGTGCGATCTGCGCCTTTTTCTTACTTTCTATACGACAAAACTAATAACACGACGCCACAATGAAACACGAAATGTTACTCTCGTACCAACGCGCGCTTATACAACTCTAACTAAAAAAAAGAAGAAAAAAAGGAAAAAAATTCGAACATAGAAATCGATAGAATTCATACGTGAT